CGCCCCTTCTCACTTCCCCCCCTCGCTTGCCGCCGATCTTCGCCCACGAACAGAGAGGGACCTCGTTTCTTTCACGGCGACGTAGAGGACTTGGGGCCGCGGTCGACGAGACACCTCGGTGAGCGAGGCGGCGGAGGCTGTCGTGCTGGAGTTCGGAACCGTCTAGCCTGGAGGCAGACCTTTGGGTGCCCAAAAGGGGGTCCAGCTGAAAGGGGGTGGGTGGTGCAATAGATTTGGAGCAATTGTACTGCAAATGCATTGCGCCGGATAATTTTATTTCATTGTATTGCATGTACTATACTGCATGCGAACATGCAGCAATAGATTTGCGCCCCGAAATGTGTTGCGCGCCCCGAATGTATTGCAACCCCACGAATCGATTGCACCAAATCTATTGCACCACCTTGTCGCTGGACCCCCTTTTGGGCCAACCCGAGGAACGTCAGGACCAGGAACCGCGAGACCTGACGAAGGACGGCTGGACGGCAACGGCGACTTCAGCGGGGATGTCGGTCAGGCCACCAACGAGCACGGAGGGGGCGGCGACTCGATGGCACCCGCGACGTGCGGCGGGGCCGAGAGCGGTCGGTCCTCTGGCCCCGCCTTTCTCCTCAATCCCATTTCCATCCCCCTCCATCTCCTCTGCATCCTCCTTCACCTCTCTCATCCTCATCCTCGTCCTCGTCCTCCCCTCGCCCCGCTGTGAACACCCCCCATCCTCCGCTTCCTCCCGGTGAAACCGCACAACGGCCTCTTTTTGCTCCTGCTCCTCCTGTTCCTCATCTTTCTCATCCTTCTCCTCCTCCTCCTCGTCCTCCTCCCCCTCCACTTCCTCCTCCTCCTGCTCCTCCCCCTCCCCCCCCTCCTCCTCCTCCTCCTCCTCCAAACTCCTCCTCCTCCTCCTCCTCCTCCTCCTCCTCCTCCTCCTCCTCCTCCTCCTCCTCTATCCTCCTCCTCCTGCCTCTTCCTCTCTATCCTCCTCATCCTCCTCCTCGCCTTCGTCTCTTCCCCTCCTCCCTCCTCCCTTCCACTTCTTCCTGGCCCCCCTTGCTCTCTCCTTGAATTCATCCTGCGAGGAGGAGGGGGAAGAGAAAGGGTGAGGAGGAGGCGGAGGAGGAGCAGGAGGAGGAGGAAGAAGAGGCGGGGGAGGTAGATAGATAGAGCGGCATTGGGGGGCAAGGCAGTGCATTCGGCCGCAAGCGTGGGCCCCCGCCGCCGCCGCTCAGAGCGGCACCTTCATTGTGATCACGGCGCCACGCACGCCAATCACCTGCCGAACGAGGCGTAGTCGCATCGGCCATCCATATTCACGCACTCATAGTCGTAGCCCTGCCCTCTACGCAGCCAGCTCGCCCTCCATGACACCCGTAGGCGGTTGGTCCGTCTGCGCCGTGGCTACCACTTTGATCAGCGCGCTGTGGTTGCTGTCCTTGGTGTTGCACTGCTGCTTCTGCTCCCCTTGCGGAACCTCCTCGGCCTCGGCGACGGACCTGGGCCCCTGCACGGGAGACAGTGTGATCTTCGCGTGGTAGCTGTCATCGCACTTGCTGATCTTCAGGTGCTTCACTTTGTAGAGGTCGTTCGCCACCCTGAACTTGTCCACTAACTTCCCGAGCTCGGTGAGATTGCTCTTAGTATTGGCGCCCACGTCCGCGGGGCAGAGGGACGAAGCGATCGAGTGTCCGGTGCCCTCCTCCTTGCGCTTGTCCGCATAGAACTTCGTGCGGGCATGGAGCACCTTGATCACCTCGGACTGAGCCGACATCGGATACGTGCTGTAGACGGCGACCCAGGCGATCTACTGAGTGTTGGCCAGCACTTGCTTGATCATCACCGTGAGCGACTTCTTCAGCTTGAGGTCGCCCTTGGGCTGGTAGGCTTCTCCGCCTCGTTGTTGGCGTCGTGTGGGGAATACGCGACGCCTATGAGGCCAGCAGCCGCGAGCATGAGGAGGTGGAAGTGGCCACGGCATGGACTTGAAGCCGACGCGGTACGCGTGGTTGAGGACTGGCTCGAAGCTCTCCTGCGCGAGGGGTGCCTCAGCGAGCTCGTCATCGTAGCCCGCACCTGTCAGCTTCGTCTTCTGCTTGGTGAAGTAGGCGGGCTGGAAGGTTATTTGGAAGATGTCGGCGGGCAGTATCTGGTCTGGCACGGGGGCGCCCTTCTTGAAGTACTTGAATCGCTTGGTGACGCCGTAGGTAGCTCGCTTGGTGCCGTCCTTGGCGTCCTCAGGTTCCTGGCGAACTTGTAGGTTGTGCTCTGTGGTGAACTCGTGGGAGGTCTCTTTCGAGATGCGCTTCTCCTCCTCGAGGTCGAGCTGGCGAGCACTAAACCCTCTGTGCTGGCCGTCTGCTTCAAATTGAACTGCCCTCTCCTGCACACTGGGGCGTGCTCTGGTCGCGCGGCTGTAGTTGCGGTTGTGCTTGCCGTATTTGGAGCTGGCCATGATTCGAGACAGTTGAAGAACTGCAGCGTGTTCGCGTCGTTGCCAAGCCTCGTAGATGCGCTCCTCGAGACGTTCGTCCTTGAGCTGTTGGTATAGGTCGAGCTTGGTCGTCTGGCGCTCGAAGACGGGCTCGGCCGCCTCCTTCATGATGTTCACGAGGAGCCCCGCGAGCTCGTCCGCTGCGTTGTCCCCGACCAACTTCTTCGGCTTGTCCTGGTGCTTGCCAAGTGTAGAACTCCAGCACGTCAGTGAACTCCTTGCGGTACTTGCCCTTCTGCAGAGCCAGGGCCATCTTGTCGTAGTCCCAGGCGGCCCTCGTTTGGACTATGAACACATTCGGGATGAAGATGTTGGCGGCTGCATGCGATAGGTGCTGGTCGTCGGGGCTGGTGGGGGCGAGCTGCCTCTCGCGAGTGGCTGGTAGCATGATGAAGTCGTCTGCGCTGAACTGTCTCGTCATCTGCAAGCTTCTCGGTGGCGCGACCGTGCTGAGCGGGTTAGACACACCCCAGCTCTGGAATATCGTCCAGATGATCGCGAGCGAAGGAAATATGGATGGCCAGCCGCGCTGGCATGACATGAAGGGTGCCCTGGGGGCGGAAGCTGCTCTGCGTGGGGTGCCTGCTTGGCCGCGAAGAAAGGGGCTAGAGCAGGAGACGGCGGCTAGAGGCGGGGGAGGAGGAGGAGAAGGAGCAGGAGGAGGAGAAGGAGGAGGAGGAGAAGGAGGAGGAGGAGGAGCAGGAGGAGGGAGCAGGAGGAGGAGGAGGAGAGGAGGGAGGATAGAGGAGGAGGGGGGAGGAGGAGAAGGAGGGAGAAGAGGAGGAGAAGGAGAAGGAGGAGGCGGGATAGGAAGAGGGGGGAGCGGAAGGAGCAGGAGGAGGAGGAGGAGGAGAAGGGGACGGGGAGGAGGAGAGGGAGGAGGAGGAAAAGGAGGAGGAGGAGGAAGAGGAGGAGGAGCAGGAGGAAGAGGAGGAGGACAACGACCACGTTGAAAAGGGAGGTTCGAGGGCATGGAAGAAGGCTGAGGAGGAGGAGGAAGAGGAGGAGGAGGGGGGAAAGAGGGCGAGGGAAGAACGGTCCGCGCGGATTTCTCTGATCGGCGCCGGGGCCCAGGGAGGAGGCAACAGTCCGCGAAAAGGAATGGGACGAACGCAGGCGGCCAAGGCCAAGAGAAAAAATCGTCAGCCCTCGAATGCGACAGCAGGCCCCGCCCCGCCCACTCCCCGCAGGCCACCGCAGCCTTGTAGGGTGGGCCGCGCGGCGGACGCCGCAGCGGCGAGGGCGCGGCCCCCCCCGCGCGCGAGGGAGGCGGGCATAACACGAGAGCACCGGCCATGCACCCTGACGTGGTTTGAACTGCGATGCGTCAAATCCACCGTTATTGCACTACTTAGCAGCTCAATTTCAGAGGGATACCGGCGAACGCCAACTATAAAACCAGAGGGGTATCCAGAGGCCCAGGAAGAGGGGGGAACGGAGGCCTCTCACAACTTGCTGGAAGTGGGCACAAAGTAGATCGTGCGTATGACAATCCCCACCATCAAGCCCACATCCGAGACGACACGGAACCGCACCAGATCTGTCCCTGACCGTGGTGGTCCACGCGTTCAGATAGGTGTTCGCCAAGGTCGCGAGCAAGTGAGGGGGGCGAACTCGACCATGATCGTCAGGTCAGCTATGTCGGGTCCAGACTCACTAAACCGCTTGGCCAAGCGGGGGAAGAGCAAGCCACGCACATTCTGAATACTGTGCGCGAAAAGGAGCGCCTTGTACGTCTTGGCCTGAAGCTGAGGAGCAGGCTCACGCGGGCAGGTGGATAGACCCGAGACTTCCACCCACACATCACCAAGGCACTTGAACACAGAAGACTGATATAGTGTCTGGCACGTGTGTGCGACAACCAAGTTGCCATCAAGACCCTCCAATATGCGAGTAATCTACTTCCCAACTCGACGGTAAGCTTCACTTCGAAGGCAGACTAGATGCGCAGAAATGTTGCAGTGGAATGTCAAGTTCCTGGGCTCCATGTCGAAGCCGAACTCTTGAAAATGCCGAAGAAGAGATCATGGGAACGCAGTGTACGGGCATCTGACCTGCTCCTGCAAGCACTGAAAGTCAGCACGCAGAGCATATTCAGGAGGAGGGTGAACCTGGCAGACATCACCGAGAACAGGGAAGCAGAAAGTGCTATACATCAAGGTGCTCTGGAAAAAACAGAGGGCGAGCTGGTTCGGGTGCGTGCAGCAACGGGACCTGAGAGCGGTAACAGGAGCCTGCCAGGATTGAGTAGGGGCCAGCCCGACAATGATGCCCAAGTACTTGCCGTGAGTCGAGATCTGAATCATTCCGACGTTTAGGCCCTGTCTCTTGAATAGGAGCCAGATCCAGCACAGTTCGAACTGACGAGGAATAATGATTTGGGCCTTGGCGGGATGAATTACTAATCCCGCGCCTGGAGCACATTCCACGCGAATTGTGGTGATCTGCGGCAAGGATTCAAAGATGCTCGGGCAGAAAATGGCAAACCCGAAGAGCGAGTACTGCGGATCGAAGCTCGGCCGAGCCCGAGAGAATAGCATACGGTGTACTGGACCGATGCAGAGCGCAAAGCGCACGCCGCTGAGCGGGCATCCCTGCTTTCATACCCCGCCCCATGTTGTAGTAATGCTTAGTAGAGCCCCTGAGGTGGATAACTATCGCGACATTGCCATAGAGCTAAAGGAATGCGTGCTGAATCCATACAGGGATGCCCATGCGTGCAAAAAACAGTACATCCACTTGCTGTGGAGGCTCGGGATGGCGGTTTTCACATCAACGAGGCAGACCACGCAATTGAAGTTGCCATCGATGTCACTCGTAATCATGAACCAAAGGTATGAATCAAACATATGGTCCAAACCTTGCTGGCCCGGAGAACCTTGGGGCCCAAGAAGGAGGAGGAGGCGGAGGAGGAGGAGGAGGAGGAGGGAGAGGGAGAGGAAGAGGAGGAGGAGGAGGAGGAGGAGGAGGAGGAGGGAGAATGGAATCCCTCTCATCATTTACCTCGACCCTGTTGCCGCACTCATTGAGCATGCCAGACCAGAGCACCAGGCGCAGGCGAAGCCCCCCTCGATTCATCCAGGCAACGTCACGCCACGAGTTGTCTCCGTATAGCAACGCGGTCGGGATGAACCGAACATCATGGCGAACTCGAAAGGTGGTGGACAGGCAACCACCGACTCCGCACGAGAGAGAGAGAGAGACCCAAACAGCAAGAGGCAGACAGACAGGCAGAAGGACGAGAGGTGTGAAAGGCCAAGAGGCCAGGGGAGGGAAAGGACGCCGTCTAGGCAACCCAGCCTGTCAACACGCAGCAAGCGCTGGAGTGAAACAAAACTCGCCGGCTGCCACAGCAACATGCGGGGTTCAAACTCCCTCTCCCCCAGGGTTCGAGGTCTGGGGTCTGCCCCAGGCCCGAGGGTGGTGGAGGGGGGTAGCGGAGGTCAGAGTACTCATCGCCTCAGCAGAGGGGCTCCGGAGGAGTGGGTAAGGCTACAAGGGATCTCCTTGGGACCGCGTCCCCCTGGGAGGGAGGGAAGCTGGGATGATGCATCGATCGAGCAGTCGGGCCGAGCTCGGGGCCACGTCGCGCCGGCCAGAGCGACAGGGCTGCCAGAAGCATGAGATGGTTCTGCTGTGGTCACTCTGCCGGGGGTGGACGTCTGAAGGGGCCCTGAGACACACAAATAAATAGACACAAATAAAAGGATTCCCTATATTTTTATATATTTTCTGGGTTTTTGTCTTCCCCCCACACTTCCCATATTTTCCTATATTTTCCTGGGAGTCGACGATTAATTGTGTCTGTGTGTTTTTTTCCCTCCTGGACTTTGCAGGCGCCACGCGGCACGCTGGCCCTGCTTGCACCGACATCCCCGCGCAGGGGGTCTGCAGGCAGGCGGGGGTGAAAAGGGGAGGAGGCAGGAGGAAGAGGATCGCCTGTGGGGGGTGAAAGACGGCGTACGCGAGTGCATGCCCAGGTGGTGCGAAGTCCGCTCGCAAACGTTGACATGAAAGACCCACCTGCCGTCGAGGACTGAGAATCTCTCTGCACGTTGGAACCCCTGGGGGGAGGGGGAAAGGAGGGAGACGTATTTCGCGACGTCGCCGAGGGGGGAGAGAGAGTGGGAGAGCGGGCATACCCTCAGACAACCATGGCCTAGTTGGGCGCCCCCTCGTCTACAATCTTCGGGCAGCCCCACGACTCCCTGTTGGCATGCTGGACTGGGAGGCTCCCACTGCATGCGTTGGCGCGCTCCTGCAACGTCTCGCTCCCCTCCCCCGCCCCACGCACTGCTGCAGGGGCCCCAGGACACACAAATACACACAAATAAAATAATCCCCCATATCTTCGGGATTTTTGTCTTCCCCCCCACTTCCCATAGTTTCCCACATTTCTGGGGAATCGACGATTAATTGTGTCTGTATGTTTTTTCCCCCTCCTGAACTGCACCATCCTCCCTCCTCTGGAGGGGCGAGACCACACGGGCCCGCGACGCGGACCCGACGCGGTGTCCCAACTCCAGCCTGGGAACCTCGGGCGGACCCCTCCCGGGAGCCTTCGGGTTGGGTTGGAGTGGTTTGGTGGGTGGTGACGGGTGGGACCTGCCAGGTTAGAAGGAGACAGAACGCTATAGACATCAGCCTGTGGCGCTCCGCGCGGATTGCTTGGATCTGCGCTGGACCCCACTCCCTGGCGCGCGGAGCGCGCCAGCGGCGGCGCCGGAGGCGCCGCCGGGGGGCCCCAGCGCCGATCCGAGGAATCCGCGCGGACCTCCGAGTCTTTATGCTTATGTCATTGTTTGCTCCCCCAGCTTTGGGGTGGCACGCCGACAGGTGGGACCTACAGGTTGGGACGCCTTCGGTTGGCACCCTGCCATTATCGGGCGGGACCCCCTGTCACCAGGTGGGAGGAGCCCACCGTGTGCGACGCTCCCTGGCGGAACCCTGCCGGGCTGGACCACACCGGGTGGGGCCTCTCGTCGGGTGGGGGCCCTGCCAGATCAGACGCTGCTGGTTGGGGCTGGCACAGGGCGGGCCGCTGCCAGGTGCACCCGACCTGCCACGGGCCCCGGTGGTCCCCCGGCGGCGGCGGCGGCAGCGAGCTCAAGCCGCCCGAGGCGGGGAACAGCGGCCGCTCCTCGGGTCTGCGGGCTTCAGGCTCGCGCCTCTCTTCTTCTTGGTCTGCTGCACGAGCCCACCTGCGCGCAGGGCCATCCCTGCCCCCAAGGAGCCAGCACCGTCCCAGACGTGCGACGTCCTGACTTTTTCAATGCGCGGCCCCCGGAAGTCCCGACCCGTGCCCCGGGACCGGGTTCTCATCCTGAGGCGTTGTTTGACGGTCCTGGGGCCCGTCGAAGGCCTCGAGGGGCCGAAAACGACGAAAGACCTCCGTCCTGAATTCTTCACGACGCGATCACGTCTGGGGTTGCCGCGTCATTCCGCCCACGACTGGGGGTCTGCAGTCGCAGGACCTGCTGCAGACCCGGGAGCGCACGCTTGCGTGCGCTTTTGCGGCGCGCTCCGTAGCCGCCGAGCCTCGAGCCTAGAAGCCATACATATTTCTCGGCGCGTCCCAGATCCACGCAGGGACAGAGCTGCGCAGTGCACGGATGGAGAGCTCTGCACTGAGTGTCCCCGATGCCCAACACGCAACACGGAGCGTATTGATACGGACGGAGCTCAACACGTAGACTGCAACCGTATGTCCGACGCGATGAGGTCGCCAAAACGTCGGCCAGTACATTGCACCAACACGCAGCGTGCTGACACGGACGTTTGGAGCACGGTACGTGCTGCGCCTCAAGCCGGGCGTCTCGAGGCGGCCAAGGTTCTGCAGGGGTCACTCCCCGTGCAACTTGCGCGCAGCTTTTTCCGCAAAGATGCTCCAATGTGCTCCTCGATGGTTCTCGCCGACAGAAATCGGAGGAGGGCAACGTGAGACAACGGCCATGAGACCATGAGACAACGGTGGCCAAATCGGCTCAAAATCGGTCCCCGGACCCCTCCCGGGGTCCAAACGCACCGATGTTTCACGCTGCGTCCAGCCGTGGCGACGAGGAGGCCCCTCGGAGGCGAAAAAGGCAAAAACGTCACCCTTGTCTCACCCTGCCCTCCTCTGAAGAAAACGCACACGTCCGAGCGATGCCAAGTCCGTGTCCCTGCGTGTCCCTCGACCGATGGCGGCGGCGGCGGCGGCTGGCAGCTGCTGCCGCCCGGGGTGGGCGCTCTCGTCCTGCTGTGTGGGCCAGATCTGGCCATCGCTCGGACGTCCCTTTCCCGTGCCTTTGGTCGGTTTCGCGCGCGCTCCTCTGTGCCCGCTGATCCAGGATGCTCCCCGATGGTCCTCGACGAGAGAAAACGGAAGGGGCCCTGGGACACACAAATAAATCCACACAAATCAAAAATATCCCTCATAGGTTCCCATAGTTTCTGGGTTTTGTTCTTCCCCCCACTTCCCATATTTTCCCACATTTTCTGGGGAGTCGGCGATTAGTTGTGTCTGTGTGTTTTTTCCCCTCCTGAAAAGCGCACACGCCCAAGCGATGCCAAGAGATGGGCCGGCTCCCCCCGTGGGGGCCGTCTGACCGCCAGAGTCGCCGCGCCCCACCCTGCCGAGGAAAACAGATGCATCTCTCGCCCTTTCTCTCTCTCTCTTTCTCTCTCTCGCTCTCTCTCTCTCTCTCTCTCTCTCTCTCTCTCTCGCTCTCTCCGTCAGGGCTGCGCGGGGAGGGGGGGCGAAGCTTCAGTTCGACGCGTTCCTTCTGACAGTCGTCGTCTCCCTCCCCCCCCCTTTGCTACAGCACCCTCTCTCCTCATGCTCCACCCTCCCTTCCCTCCCCTTCTCCTCCTCCCGTATCCCATTCCCGTCCCCCCCACTGAACGCTCCAGATCGGGAACAACATCCAAAGAGGGTAGAAATCAGGATGACGAGGGGCAGGATGCGTGAGAAGGATGAGGGATGTTAATGAGGAGAAGCGGAAGGGAGAAGAAGGGATGATGATGATGATGATGATGATGATGATGATGATGATGATGATGATGATGATTCATGATGATGATGATGATGATGATGATGATGATGATGATGATGACGACGACGGTCGTACCGCTTCGACTGAAGCCAATGGCCAAAGCAAAGTGGGCCACGGCTCCCCTCCCGCCCCCCCTCACGGGCCAGGTGCCAAAGACACCAGACCCCGAGCCAACACAAGAAACCGAGCCCTGGCGAAAGAACCCGCCACCACCATGCCAGACGAACGGTGGCAATGGACCCGACCCCACGCCAACTCAGCACGAGGGGGATCCAAGCCCCATCGAGGCCTCCCTCATGGGCTTCCAGCACATGGGGTCGGAAGATCGCGCCGCATTGCTGACGCATCGCCGATGCACCCGCGATGCATCCGCGACGTCGGCGATGCATCGGCGCCGTCGGCACGGAGAAACTCGGGCTCCACTTCGGACACCGTGCGGCATCGCCGATGCACCGGCGATGCGGCGCGATCCTCCGACCCCACCCGCTCGAACTATGCTCACACAAGGCCTGGGCGACCGGCACCGCCCGAGCACAGAGCCGCCAGCGCCGCCGCCGCTGCGCCGCGGCGGCCCACAGTCTCGCACGAGCACGGGCAGCCCGGCGAAGGCGCTGCCCGAGGTGCTCTCGAAGCCGTGCCGTCCGCTCAGCGGCGGCGGCATGCACGCCTCGCGCCGGGCACCCTCGGCGGCGAGAGACGGGGGGGAACTGAGAAGGAGAAGGCCTTCTCGGAAGGCGGCGGGACTTCTCAGAAGCCCGCGCGCCTTGTGAGAAGTGTTGCTGTGTCTTCGGGGAAGGCACGGAAAACTTCTCAGAAGGCCCGGGGACTTCCGAACCTACTGAGAAGGCCTGTTCCTTCTCACGTCCCCCCCTCGCTCGCCGCCGATCTTGGCCCCATATCTGAGCCAACCGGCGACCCATGGTCGAGGCGCCTAAGGTGTGGCTTCTGGTCGCTGCCACCCTGCTGTTTTTTTTATCGGGGCGCTCGCACTCTGCTCGTCAGCTCCACACCGCCGCAGATGTGAGGCACAGATCGTGCGTCGTGGGCACCGCTCGTCTCCACGCCGCTACTGCTGACGGCGCCGACTGCTGCGTAGAGGCCCGAGCCCATGCGAGCGATGTCTCCGAGAGAGAAGGGGCCCCATGTCTCCCCCTGCTGGTCAAGCGGCCGAGCCCGCATCCTGGCCTCCGCGTGCGTCTGGCGGCCGACGTGCTCGACACCAACTGCCGGCCGCAATCGCACCGTGCTGCTGGGGCCCGCCGGTGCCGCCGCTGGCCCCACGGATGCACCATCGGGCGGACCGCCTGGTGGCCGAGGTGCCCCGCGGACGCCTGGACTGACTACCTACCAGACCACCCCAACCCAACCCGAAATCCCATATTTGACCCGAATTTCGGGTTGGGGGGGGTACGGATACCACGTGTTTTTTCAACGTTCCCCGACCCCCCCCCACTGGAAATCGAGGATAAATTTGGGCCTTCGGGTTGGGTTGGGGTGGTTTGGTGGGTGGTGATGGACCACCTCGGCGAGCTGCTCGTGCGCGTCGTGCCCCTCCAACCCGCCGTCTGCTCGGCCACGGCGCGGCCCGCCCCTCGGCGGCCCGAAGGGGCCACCGAGGCCCGGGGCCTGCTGGAGCCCCTCGTGGGGCGCAGCGCCGGACAGGCCCGCCGTAGCGCGCCGCACCCCGAGGGCGCGCCCTTTCCCGCCCCCGCCCGCGCGACCTGCCAGTCCACGCTGCCGGCGTGTGCGGGTGCGAGCGGTACGGCACGCGCGCGGCCTCGCCGCACCGCGTGCGCCTCGTGCCTCCTGGTAGCTCTCCTGGGCGGCCCGCAGGTACCTGCCAAGAGCCGTTCCTGGCCCCTCCCTCCTACGGTTCCCTCCTCCTCCTCCTCCTCCTCCTCCTCCTCCTCCTCCTCCTCCTCCTCCTCCTCCTCCTCCTCCTCCTCCTCCTCCTCCTCCTCCTCATCCTGCTCCTGCTCCTGCTCCTGCTCCTGCTTCTCCTCCTTGCTCGCCGCGCGCGGCGTCGGCGGCCGCGGGAGCCCCCAGTGGCCGCCGCAGACCGCCACGGTGTTGGCATGCAGCTCGAGAACGTGCTGCTGAGCTATGCCGTGCTGCTCCGTGCTGAGCGCCTCGTCCGCCACGCCCTCCTGCTGGCCGTTCGACCCTTTCCCCGTCGTCCTTCAGGCTGGTGGAGGCTGCACTCGGCCACGCACTCGGCCTCCTCCATGCGCGCAGCCTTCGGCGCCCCGCTGTCGAGCAGCTGCTCGCCAACGCGCGAAACCACGTCGCTGGGCGATGGCGTGTCGTGCCCAGCAGCGCCGCAGGTGCGCCCGCGCGTGCCCCCGTGCTGCACGGCGCCGAGCTGCTCGACATCGCAGCACGTGGCACCCCGCCGTGCTGCTCCACGGAGCTGCGCAGCACTGCGAAGGCCGCGCCTCGCTGCGCGAGGACGCCCGCCGCGGGGCGTGCCCCGGACGCCGAGTCCACCTTGGCGTGCCGGCGAGCGCGCCACCGCCGCCGCGGGCCTCCCCGGCGTCACGGCAGCTCCGCGGACCGCGCCCTCCTGCCCGAGGAACCGCGGCCGCGGCGCCGCCGAAGAACCTCAGGAGCTGCTGCCCAGACGCACGGCCGCCCGCCTCTCCCTCTGCGAGGGCCACGCGCGACGCCGCGAAAGCCAATCCGGCTCCCCGCCTCGAGCTCCCGGGCACCCGCCGCCGCCTGGCGAGCCGCTGCGAGCGTGGGCTTGGAGCCGCCGCTGCTGCTGCTGCTGCTGCTGCTGCTGCTGCTGCTGCTGCTGCTGCTGCTGCTGCTGCTGCTGCTGCTGCTGCTGCTGCTGCTGCTGCTGCTGCTGCTGCTGCTGCTGCTGCTGCTGCTGCTGCTGCTGCTGCTGCTGCTGCTGCTCGATCGTCGCCTCCTCGGCGGCGTCTGCTCAGAGCTCCGAGAACTGCGCAGGCCAAAGATGGCTAAGTATTGGGTAGCAAGGGGCAACAGGAGGAAGAGCAACACCATCGGCAGACGGAGGCAAAGACGGAGAGCGAAAGGCTGCAAAATATGGGCGCACCGCAGAAGAACGACATGCCAAGCACCAGGAGAAGGTTCGACAGAACGGAGCCGAGCAGCGTCTCCTTGACGAGCGTGATCTTGCCTGCCGAACAGTGGGTTGTGAAACGTGAGGCGGAGAGGGAGGGAAGAAGAATCCCCTCACATGGTGGCGGTGAAGAGGCTCAGCAGAAAGGGCAAGTGAATCACGAAACATAGAACCGACCAGTTGGTGTGATGCGAGGGCCCTGAACCCGAATTTCCCTAGAGCTCTTCAAGACCTGGCCCAGCTCCCGCCAAGGCTGACGGCCCCCAGGCGCCACGAATGCTGCACTTCCTGCGCAGTCGTGGGCAACCCGAGCCCTGTCAAGCAGAAGCCCTGGGCACAGCGAGGCTCCCACGGCTGCACCAGGTTGCCACAAACGCACTGCAAAGCATGACAAAGGAAAAACAAAAAACAATAAACAAAAACAAAAAACAAAAAAACGAGACCGTCGAGGACAGGGCCTGGGGGAGTGGGCAAGAAAGAGTGAGCAGGGAGGAGCTCGAAGGCGGATGGAGGACATCACGGATCCTCGCCTCCGGTGGTGATCTAGCTCTATGTTTCGGTGGTGGCCGACCCGCGGGGGATCGACGGAGGACCGAGGCTTAGCGCATCCTCCTCCGTCTCCTCCTCCTGGTCCTCCTCCCCCTCGCCCTCCTCCGTCAGATATGCTTAGGAAATTCCTGCTTGCATGGCCTCCAGACTTAGTAAGGCGGGCCGGGCGTTTCGCCTGAGACGTCTTCACACGTAGCGTGAAACTTGAAATTTGCAACAATTGCACGGCCTGTTGTCAAAATAGAGACGTCGATTTTGCGCCGAGCACGTTTGCATCCAATGCGCGGCAAGGCTGCGCGAGCTCCCACCACTTGTTTGACCCGTGGTTTGGGCGCCTTGCGTAAGGGCGCAATGGGTGTGACGACGTGGGCACACTTTTCTAGTCAGCGGGCGCCAAATGGCCAAAGACAGTCAAACGCCGAGCAGCCAGCGGTGGGGTGCACCGGGATCGAATTGAGGCACGGAGGCGAAACAAAAAAAAGAGAGAGCGAGGGGGGCAGAGGGAGGAGCCCGCTCAGAGCATGAAAGCTGGCGCGGGGATGCCGTAGTGGATCCGACGTGGGCACGCAGACGCTCTGCGATCTCCCAACCAGTTGGCCCGCAGCATGGGCCCCCTGCGGGGCAGAAGCCGTGTGAGGGGTGTGCCACATGGGCGCCGCGGCACTTTCCGAGCGTTCTGCTGTGCACTTTCCTTGGTGCCCCCCGAACCCCGTCTCGTGTTATGGGGTGCCGACATGAGCTCGGCGAACCTGCACGAATGCCCACATATTGCCCCGTAGCCTGGGCTGGCCCGGAGGCACGACATGTTAGAGGCGTATGCCGGAGTGGGCGTGGTGACGTTACGCAAGCGCCCACCCCTCACTTGGCCCTCAGGTTGTGCTCCATGCAGCAAGGAATGTGTGAGGGGTATGCCGAAAAGAGCGCCGCGGCTACGCTACGCGAGCGCCCCCACTTGGCCCGTCCGCCCTCCGTCCTCCCACTCCTCCTCCTCCTCCTCCTCCTCCTCCTCCTCCTCCTCCTCCTCCTCCTCCTCCGACAGAGCACGTGCTTTTCAAACTGAAATGATCGCTTACGCCGTTCGCCTACGTTGCAACTGAACAACTTGTTCCGAAGCATTGTGCCCAAAGTCGTTTCGAAGCGCGCTGCTGTGCGCCACGTTAGCGCGCGTGGACTGCGGCCTGCATGCGGTCCGCGCACTAGTACGAGCTATTGAGTCTGAAAGGGCAAGGCATGGCACGTGCGTCATGAAAACGCGGCACGCGGCAGAAACAATTATGAAAAGGAAATTCGCGCGCTTCGCGTGCGTCCGTCGACCGAAATTGCTAAATCAGGGCAAGCGCGCGGCGACAACCGCATTTGTCTCCGCCAATCAATAATTCAAAAAAATGCAAAACAAAATTGTCGAGGCCCTGGTTTTGTTTCCTGGTGGGGGAGGGACCCGAAACAAGTCCTTGCCTCCGAGGAGTCCCATGGAGCCCGTGTCAAGCATCCTGGACGCAGGCCTCCTGCTCCTTCTGTCTGTACAGCTTTTTATTTCCAGCACTGCCACAGTTCCATAAGCAAGGCGAGACTCCAGGCTTGGTTGGACAACCCGTGCTTTGACCCGAAGACGCTTGATGCCATTCTGTTTAGGCCTCCCCCAGAGCGTCGTGCGCACATGTGTGAGGGGTGGGAACACATAACCCATCATTCATCATTCCACGCTGCAAGGGCGCCTAACTTCGCGCTCTCGCGCCGCCCCCCTAGGGGAGAATAGGAGGATGAGGAGGAACCGGAGCCGAGCCGCGAAGCGCGAAGAACTTCGCGCCCTCTGGGGGCCCGTGTCCACGACGGCCCGAGGGTGATCACGGAGACGGTCTCTCTAGAGTCGCAAGGGGCAGTCTGGCCCAAGGCTCAAAAGTAGAGCTGAGGAGGCCAGGCGCGAGGCGAGTTACGGTCCAGTCTCGTCACCGACACTGTCGCAATATCCGTAACTCCTCCTCCTCCTCCTCGTTCTCCTCCTTTTGCGGCTGCTGCTGCTGCTGCTTGCTCCTCCTCGGACTCAGCATCATAATCATCATCAGCATCACCATCATCATCACCATCATCATCATCATCATCATCATCATCATCACCATCATCAGCATCATCAGCATCATCATCATCACCATCATCAGCATCACCATCATCATCATCATCATCATCATCACCATCATCATCATAATCATAATCATCATCTCCGTCATCTCCCTTATGATCACAATCATCTACCTCCCTCTTCGTTCATCGCCTGCATTCCTCCTCCTCATCTCCTTTCACCTCTTTTCCGCCTCCCGTCCAGTACCCCCCCCCTCCCTCTTCCATCATTCCTCTCCTCCAGCTTCCTCCGCTGCCTCTGCATACCTTCCCCTTCATCCATCCCCATTCTGAACAGCTGCCTTTGTACAACATGATGACCGTCATCACCATCTCCACTGCGTTGCCGAACGTGGCGTTCAATAGCCCTGCTAGCATGTCGTTCCTCATGGCCGCAGCAAGCTCCTGGATGAGAAAGGAGGACAGCGACGACGACGTCGAAAATGACGAGAATGGGACACACCAGAAGGAAGGCTGAGTAGCAGAAAAGCGGGGTGCTAGGACGAGGAAATAATGACGACACTTACGTGTCTAATACGTGCGTTATACATGCATGCACGCATGCATGCATCCATAAACATTCAACTGTGTACGCATGCACATGGCTATGCGCGTGTATGTCTATGTATATGTATACATATAATAATGGCAGATGTAAAGTTGCCGCGTTAAGTGTACCTATGTACGTTCATATGTACAAGTGTATGTGAATGTAAATGTATGTGCATATGTATATGTAGATGTAAATGTATATGGGTATGCGTATGGCTGTGTATGTATATGCGTATGTGGTTGTGTACGTGTGTGTGCATATGGATATGGCATGTACATGGGGATGTGTAAATATGTACCTGCGCATACGTATACGCACGTATATGTAGATGTAGATTTGCATGGATGAATATATGTATGCGGGTATGTGTGTACATGTATGTGTAGATGTATACGTATATGTGCGAACGTGTGTAGGTAAAAATGTGTGTAACTGCATGTGCGTAGGTATGCGTATATGTGTGTGTGTATCCGGCTATACATATGTATATGTACATGTACACGTATTTGCATATGCTTATGTATAAGCCAATGCAAGTGTATATGAGTGTGTCTATGTCTGTGCTTACGTGTAGGCATGCATGAATTTGTGTGATATACACATGTTTCTGCATTTGTGCATACATACGTACATGCATACACATACAAATACATACATATCTACCTACATACATACATACATACATACATGCATGAGTATATCGACGTATATGCATATACACAATTCTAAGGTTGTTATAGATGCATATACACACATGTATACACACCTATACATATATGTGCGCGTGTGTGAATTACGCGCACGCCACCGTGCCTGCACGGAGTGGGCGTTTTAGAATGCTGTCTTGTTGTCTGGTAGGTGCTGCTAATGTGTTCTAGAACCGACCCCCCTCATCGCACGCGCCCATAAAAAATGTCCGCCCTCCCCCCCACCAAAGGAACCGAAAACAGGGGCCCTCGGGGGGGGGGATCAGAACGAGCCCCGGAGGGGGGGTAAAACAGGCTTCTTCCGAAGGGGCGCCCAAGAGGGCCAAAGAGGCCTTAAAGAGGCCTCCAAGACGCCCACAAGAGGCCCGGACGAGGCCCCCAAGCAGCCCGGAAGAGGACCCAAGAGGTTCCCAAGGGATACTCAAGGCGCCCCAAGATGCCTTGAAGACTCGCAAGAGTCCCCCAAGAGGCCCTCGATGCGTCCCAAGTCGCCCCCAACAGCGCCAGGAGGCCCCCCAAGACGCCCCAGGGGGCCCCCAACAGACCACGAGAGACATACCAAGAGATTCCAAGAGACATCCAAGAAGCCTGTGGCCCACGGAGGCTCCCCAAGCTGCCCACATGATGCCACGCTCCCCCGATAAGGGCGGTTTCCCTGGACATCGTTCCTGGATGGGGCTGGTGATGATACTTTTTGATCGGCGGCTCGCAAGGACAACTCCAGGGAGCGGGATGGTCTCGACAGGGGCGCATGGCGAGAAAATTAGCTGCTAGGGCCCATAGGCCGCGGCAGCGGGTGCACGCGCCAGGGACAAAATGACCCTCATTACGGCGCAGGCGACCCGTAACGGGGAACGCAGGCATCAATCTAGAAGCGGGCGGAGGGAGCAGTCGCACAATTGGAGCCAGCTCAGACCGTACGAGGGGGCGAAGGAACGGGGAAGGGCGGCGGGCGCGAGGGCACGCGAGGAGAGGAGACAGAGGCGCAGGAGGCGACGAGGGGAGGGGGAATCAGGAAGCCACACTCACAGAGCACCTAAAGTGCTCGAGGACAGGTGCGTCGAACCTTGACTGGCGTCGGCGGCCTAGTCGTCAGAGTCCCAGCGTGCAACTCCCTTGCCAGTGTGGATGGGGGGAAACGCTGCGTGGTACCACGGCTGAACCACCCAGCGGGAGGCCTGCGGACGCTGGTGATGATACGCGGAGCGTTGAGAATTCAAAATCATACCTGCTACGCTGCTGCGCAGATACGATGGCGGGGTTTGCCGCTGGCAGCTCGATATAAATGTAAATCCATATATAGATGTGCGTATGCATATGTGTCGAAGGATCCAGCAGTGGCGACGAGAGACTGCACCTCCGCTCAAAAACGAGAGGACACTTTCAACCGGTTCCATGTTGCTCTTTTTATTGCAAATTCTGGCGCCATGTTTTTCACGGTTCCGTCGCTGCTTTGTACCCGATTCCGGTTCCGACTCTAATCCCAGAGCCAGTCTTCCTCCATTCCCAGGAGCCGTTACTTTTCCAGGGAGCTGTCTCCTTCCCGTTTCCGTTCCAGTCCTCGAGCCGTGTTCTCGTGCTCCTTGGAAAGAAAAACGGAAACACGGCCGTACCGCTTCAGGGGCCCACTCAAGGTCCCTGGCGCCCGTCCTGAAGATAATCAGGATTCGTTGGCCGTCTTGGAACCTCGACGGGTCCGCCCAAGAGGGCAACTTCGCCCAGTCCTTCGGGCGTCCGTGCGGTTGGAGCACCTTCTCGGGACTTCGGCTCGCAGAAGAGGCCCCCCAAAACCCCAGAAGAAGGACCCAAGAGGAGAACCGCGAACTGCCACTTCGAGTCCTCCCGCCATGGCCCCCAGACGCCACCAAAAGGCCCCCAGGAGGCCCCAAAGACGCCCCCGAGAGGCCCGTAGAAGACCCCCGACAGGTCTCGAGAGGCATGCAAGAAGCTTCCGTTTTTCCACGACCGAAACCGGGTGGCAGAAGGGCCCACTAGTTTAAACCACACGCTGGTAGGCGGACAAGAACGCGAACCGCCTGTGTCGCACAACACCCATGGTGCGACGAGGAAGAGTTACTTCTAAGGAAAGGGATGGAGTGTGGAGAAAGGATGAACGAGGAAAAACTGGAGCAAAAGGGAAGTGGGATAAGGACGAGGAGGACGAGGAGGGGGGGATGGTATGGGAGGCAAGCGTGGAGGGAGGGGGGAAACGGCATGAGTCGCGGACTGGAGTTCCCCAGTCGAGCTTAGCGGCAGAAGCTGACGGACAACACATCCGGCACGAAACACACGCTGCGTGCCGAGGAAATGCATCAGATGAGCCAATGAGCGGAAGCAACACACAGCTGGGAAGACGGCAGCGCACTGGAAGAGCAAGGTTGTCAGGAGTGGAGCATGCTCTGATAACCACAGCGCGCCCACTGCCGCAGACTGCGGCGCAGCAGAAAGATGAGGGCTCATCAGTTACATGCGGCATGGATCTCCGCCGAGGACGACGGTGATGAGGAGGAGGGGGGCTCCTCGGTAGCGTCTCCAAGAATCTTCGCCAAGGGAACCATGGCGAGAAAATTGAACCAGAACATCGACTCGACGCTCCACCTCCACGCTGTGACCCGCCACTCTTTCTCTCAACCGACTTCCAGCCTCTCCTCATCCCCTCCTCATCCCCTCCTCTTCCTCCTCCTCCTCCTCCTCATCATCATCACCATCATCATCATCACCACCACCACCACCACCACCACCACCATCATCATCATCATCATCATCATCATCATCATCATCATCATCAGGATCATCATCAACATCATCATCATCAACATTCCCTCTTCGGCGTTCCTCCTCGCGTCCTCCTCTTGACCTTCTCCTGATCGCAGCCCCACTCCACAATTACAAAATATGAGTACTACTCTCCACTCTCCCCTGATGACGTCCGGAGGATGTCCGGCCTCTCTCCGCGTATTTGTTTTACACACAGGATTCCTGGGCAATGGGTTGTCGCTAGGTTTTTTTCAAAACGTTGCTGCCGCTAAAGCGTTGGATTCATTTCTGGATTTCCGCTCGTTCCGAATCGAGCTCCCGCTGCAGCGCTAGCCTCATTTCCGCGCTTCCGTTCCTCTCAAATCGTGCTCCCGCTGTCAACATATCCCCCAAGGAACCTGGTGCTTATGCCATGACATGCAGCGCGGCGTTGTGTTCTGTGCCGCTGTGCGATGCAGTGGTTTGCGTTGCAAGGTTTTGCGACGCAACGCCTCACTACGCTATGCCACGCCATCTGCAGCGCTCTTCTACGCCATGTTATGCCGATGCGTACGATGCAGCGCGTACCCTCCTGGGATCATTGCCCTGCTCGACATCCGACTGTGCGAATGGAGAAGAGATCTAAGCAATGGTAAGGGGTAAAAGGGAAGGGTATGACGTCAGATATGACGCGAGCGCACATCACTTGTCTTCCTCCTGTCCTCAGCGGCGCGCGCGTCTCTCTCTCGCGCGGGCGCGGCTTGAATTTAAACCTCTACAGCCAGGGATTCCCCGCACCTGCCCGCCTCCCTTCTGCTGCTAGCTCGGGCGCTGCCGATCGCGATCCATCGGCGGGTCGACCCCGCATCCTTCGAGTTTTCCGAATGGGCCGCTCGGCCTTCTTCATTCTGAGGCGAGCGTCTTGCGTTTCGCGCGACGATTCCCCTGGAGCGCCGTATCCTGTTCCCCCTCCACTTCCTCCTTCGTCTCCTCGAACGTTGCCGCAGGCGTAAATCTTTGGTCGCCTGGTGGGCGGGCGCACCACCTGATGGCGGACCAGCCTTGTTCTGGCGCCGCTCGCCCTCGCACTGGGCGGGGCGGTGGGACACCTAAGCTCGCTGGACTCCTTCTCCGCCCCTACTCCAGCTCCTCCTTCTCCCTCCTCCTGCCTCCTCCTCCTCCTCCTCCCTCCTCCCTCCCCTCCTCCTCCTCCTCCTCCCTCCTCCCTCCTCCTCCTCCTCCCTCCTCCTCCTCCTCCTCCTCCTCCTCCTCCCCTCCTCCTCCTCCTCCTCCCTCCTCCCTCCTCCCTCCTCCCCCTCCTCCTCCCTCCTCCCTCCTCCCTCCTCCCTCCTCCTCCTCCTTCTCCGCCTCCTTCTGCTCCTCCACTCCAGGAACAAACAGAGGCACAAGCAGACTTCTTGGACCGGCGGTGGGCCCCGCGGCCTGGCGCGCCGGCGCGCGGAGGGGGGGGCTCCGGCGCCGACCCAGGAGACCCGCACGGAACTCTGAGAAATCTGGTTTAAGCCACTTGCTGTCCTTCGATGTTCATAGCTCTCTTCTCTCTATGTCTCTCTCTCTCTCTCTCCCTCTATATATATAGATGTCTTTCTCTCTTTGTTATATATATGTATATATATGTGTGTATATATGTATAAACGTATGTGTATATGTAGATATGTGTGTCCTTCTCTCTCTCCCTCTCTCTCTCTCTCTCTTTCTCCCTCCTCTCCTCCCCTATTCTCAAGCACGCTGCAAGGCGACTCTCCGCCTGAATCGCCAGGAGGCCCGCACGCCGATGCGCACAGGCAGAAGAGGGCAGTGCGCCCCGGGCACATCGTGGTCGGCCGAGCCGAGGATGAAAGCGATGGCATGGCGGACGTTAAGCACATCACCCTCCCAATGATATTGTCTTCACCCACCATGAAGTTTGTTTCGCCCTCTGACATTTTCGCCACCCGAGAGCTGCGCGGCGAGCAGCCCCAGTCGTAACAACGCGTCGTCATCGGGTTCGACAGCAAGGCGAGCACACAAGCTCGGCAGCGCCCTGCGACGGGCAACGCACAGGTGAGCGATCTCTCCCACTCCCCCCTCTCCTCCCCCGCTGCGCCGCTGAAGGCGAGATGGCCGTCGCTGCCCCGCGGCGGAAGGGCGCGCCGCGGCGCGCCGCGGCGGGCGGCGCCATGGGCCCCCGCGAGAAGCGCGGGCCTCGCCCTCGCGCGGCCAGAGAGGGCCATGGCGGGAGGCCCTTGGACGCAAAGTGCGTCATGATGGGATTGGCTCGGCGGCCTTCGGCGGCCCCCGGAGGCCCCCTCGGCGGTCCCCCATCGTAGGCACTGGCGACGGCTCTTCCTCAACACCGGCCAATTCGCCAGGACCGGGATGACCACTGCCTCGCCCAGCTCCACGAAGACCTTGCTCGTGCGCAGCACCGCTGCGAAATGCCGTTGGAGCTTGGAGATGACAACGCGGCACGTCCTCGCGTAGGAGCCCACGCCATCTGGCGACCACCTGTCGCCGCCAAGGCCGGTGGGATCGCTGCGCGCTCCGAGTGCTCTGTACAAGAGACCGCGGCTTCCTCGAGGAGGAGGGGGTCCGCGATCTCGCCCGCAAATCCTGACCAGGCGCATCCGCTTCGGCGCATCCGGTGGGTTTGCGGACCACCTCCTGGCCTGCGTCGGCGCACCACGGCAACAAATAGTCCCTCTAGAAATCCGCGATCCCCTGCCACAGGCGGAGGCCCATCTCTAGTCGCGACAAGCCCCGCATGTAGCACTCGCGGGATACCACCAGAGGCAGCTCTGGCATCTTGCGCCCTGCAGCGCTGGTCTTCGCACGCACCGGCGCGGCAGTCAGACCGCCGTCCACGACGGCGAAGCACTGTGGTGGGAGCCAGCAGCGGTCGTCGTAGCGCAGCACCGCCCAGACTTTGACGATACGAAACCACGGCGCCCCGCGCAAGCACTTCGCGAGGCCATCGTCCGCGACCAGCTGCCCCAGGGCCCCGACGAACGCACTAGCAAATCAGGCCACCATCATCGCCGAACCCGTAGCAACGCCGAAGATTTCCGCGTTCGCGACGACCTGTTGGACCTCCGGCACGACGGAGAACCTAACGCTCAGTTCGAAGCTCGCCGCGCGCTCGGTCCAGCCAGGGCGCGGAGGGCCTGGTTGGACACCGTCGGCCCACAAGGCTCGGCAGCCCTGGCGTGCACGTAGTCGATGAAGTGTACTCCCGTCCTGGGCAACGGGACGCCGTGTGCGCGCACAGGAGCCATCGGCACAACGTCTCGCCCGCACGCACGTACGACCTCACTGTGTTGGCGCGCGCGGCCTGTGATATCGTCCAGTGCTCGCTCCTGGCCCATGCAGGACACGCCGCCTCCAGCGAAGGCACCTCCATATCGCCGAGCAGCCGGAGCAGGCGAAGCCTCCAGCGAGCCCGCTCTCGGGCCTCCAGCTCGCCGCGGCTCTCCTCGGCAGCGGCGCGGCGCCTCCTCGCGTAGCGGGCCCCTGCTAACGCGCTGATCCCGAGCGCACACACACACACACACACACGCGCACGGCGAAAAGGCTCATCACGGCGACCTCCAGCATGGCGTGCTCGGGGCGGCAGCGGAACACGCGCAGCCGCTTCTGCAAGGGTTCCTCGCTCACCGCCTGGTCGACGAGCTCTTGCAGCGGGATCCGCGCTTCCTCCACCTTGAGGTCCGCGGCCGTTGCCACCTGCACGAGCGTCGAACTCGGGCTCGCCCGCCTCCAGTGCCAGACGCGAGCCGAGGAGCACACGCCCATGCAGGACCTGGCTGACCCACCGCCGCGCGGCGTCGAGGGCGCACAGCCCAAGGGCCAGCATCTGCGCCCAACACTGTGCAAAACCGGCCGAACTCCTGAGCGGAAATGGCCACAGGCGTCGGGCAGAGAGGAGGATACACTTCCGTGTTGGTACACGGGGGACCTATCTCAAGCCATGGGGAATAAGCATCATCATCACCACCACCATAATCAATATCACCATCATCATCATCATCATCATCATGATCAGCATCATCATCATCAGCATCAGCATGATCATCCTCATCAGCATCATCATCAATATAATCAGCAGCGCCATCATCAGCATCATCATCACCACCACCACCATCATCATCATCATCATCAGCATCCTCATCATCCTCATCATCACAATCAACAGGAGTCGCAAGGTCAATATCATCACCATCCTCCTTATCATCATCAACACCATCATCAGCATCATCACATCATCAGCATAATCATTATCACCGACAGCATCAAGATCATCATCATAATCATCATCAGCAAGATCAGCGTCGTCGTCACCACCATCACCACCACCACCACCATCACCATCACAGTCATCATCAGATCGTGCGACTGAATTCCTCGCTGCTGAGACAGGCCTACGAGGCTGCCGTGCCAGTGCTGTGATCTGGGTCTGCCGAAAGCGAGCTGGGGATTCGGAGGAAGTCCATGCGTGTGAATTCATTCGAACCGATTGAATCTGTTCCATACCGGGAGGGCTGCAAATGGTTCGAACTTCTGCTAGACACGAACGGATCATCAATGCCCTTCGTGGTGGCCGCAAGTGCGCTGCCTGCTTGGCGATTGCACGTGTAGCAGGCAAGCAATCGGTGTTTCGTCGGTGGGCAGCAATGCTGCCCGACAGAGCGTGCATCGCGTTGCATTGCGCACAAATAATGATGATGATGAAGATGACGATGATGATGATGCTGATGATGATGATGATGATGATGATGATGATCGTCGCCATCATCATGATTATCATCGTATTCGCCATCACCATCATCAGCATAGCCATCCGCCTCGAGGGGTGACCTCTGGTCAACTCTGTTTGCGTGAAGCATGCTCCGCTACCCTCTACCTCGACATCATCAGCAACATCATTGGCATCACCATTGTCGTCGCCAATATCGGTACTCTCACGAGCACCACTTTCCGGAGCATCAGCATCCTCATCATCATCATCATCATCGTCATCGTCATCGAATCATCGCCACCCTCATCACAATCGTTGCCAAGTCATCACTAAACACCGCCATCGTCATCATCGAATCATCACCAACGCCATCGTTCCCAGATCGTGAGATAGCATCATCATCACCATCGTCATCGTCAGCATCATCAGCATCATCACCATCACCATCACCATCACCATCATCCTCATCCTCATCATCATAATCATCATCATACTCTTCGTCGTCATCAGCATCATACTCAACACCAGCATCATCAGCATCAACAACATCATTGCCATTATCGTCATCACACGTAGTCGTCATCCACGCCGTCAGCATCATGATCAGCTCCACCATCCCCTTCATGATCATTATGGCCATCATCACCACCATGATCATCATCGACGTCATCGCCATAGTCAGCATCGCCGCCATCATGATCCACAATCGCAGCAAAAGCATCGACACGAACGGATCATCAATGCCCTTCGTGGTGGCTGCAATGGCGCTGCCTGCTTGGCACTTGCCCGTGTAGCAGGCAACAAATCGGTGTTTCGTCGGTGGGCAGCAATGCTGGCCGACAGAGCGTGCATCGCGTTGTATTGCGCACAAATAATGATGACGATGACGATGACGATGACGATGACGATGATGATGATGATGACGATGATGATGATGATGATGATGATGATGATGATGATGATGATCGTCGCCATCAGCATGATTACCATCGTACTCGCCATCACCATCATCAGCATAGCCATCCGCCTCGAGGGGTGACCTCTGGTCAACTCTGTTTGCGTGAAGCATGCTCCGCTACCCTCTACCTCGACATCATCAGCAACATCATTGGCATCACCATTGTCGTCGCCAATATCGGTACTCTCACGAGCACCACTTTCCTGAGCATTAGCATCCTCATCATCATCATCATCATCATCATCGTCATCATCATCATCGTCATCGTCATCGAATCATCGCCACCCTCATCACAATCGTTGCCAATTCATCACTAAACACCGCCATCGTCATCATCGAATCATCACCAACGCCATCGTTGCCAGATCGTGTGATAGCATCATCATCACCATCGTCATCGTCAGCATCATCAGCATCATCACCATCACCATCACCATCATCCTCATCCTCATCATCATCATACTCATCATCATACTCTTCGTCATCATCAGCATCATACTCAACACCAGCATCATCAGCATCAACAACATCATCGCCAATATCGTCACCACACGAAATCATCATCCACGCCGTCAGCATCATAATCAGCTCCACCATCCCCATCATGATCATTATGGCCATCACCACCACCATGATCATCATCGACGTCATCGCCATAGTCAGCATCGCCGCCATCATGATCCACAGTCGCAGCAAAAGCATCGACACGAACGGATCATCAATGCCCTTCGTGGTGGCTGCAAGTGCGCTGCCTGCTTAGCAATTGCTCGTGCAGCAGGCAACCAATCGGTTTTTCGCCGGTGAGCAGCAATGCTGCCCGACAGAGCGTGCATCGCGTTGCATTGCGCACAAATAATGATGATGATGATGACGATGACGATGACGATGATGATGATGATGATGATGATGATGATGATGATGATGATGATGATGATGATGATGATGATGATGATGATGATCGTCGCCATCAGCATGATTACCATCATATTCGCCATCGCCATCATCAGCATAGCCATCCGCCTCGAGGGGTGACCTCTGGTCAACTCTGTTTGCGTGAAGCATGCTCCGCTACCCTCTACCTCGACATCATCAGCAACATCATTGGCATCACCATTGTCGTCGCCAATATCGGTACTCTCACGAGCACCACTTTCCTGAGCATCAGCATCCTCATCATCATCATCATCGTCATCGTCATCGAATCATCGCCACCCTCATCACAATCGTTGCCAAGTCATAACTAAACACCGCCATCGTCATCATCAAATGGTCACCAACACCATCGTTGCCAGATCGTGAGATATCATCATCATCACCATCGTCATCGTCAGCATCATCAGCATCATCACCATCACCATCACCATCACCATCATTCTCATCCTCATCATCGTACTCTTCATCATCAGCAGCATCATTAGCATCATCACCAGCATCATCAGCATCAGCAACATCATCGCCATCATCGTCATCACACGCAATCGTCATCCACGCCGTCAGCATCATAATCAGCTCCGCCACCCCCTTCATGATCAGTATGGCCATCATCACCACCATGATCATCATGGACGTCATCGCCATAGTCATCATCGCCGCCATCATGATCCACAACCGCAGCAAAAGCATCGACATCGACATCAGCATCACCATAACCATCATCGTTCTGCGCGGTTTCCACGAGGGATCCGGCGGGGGCGCTCAAAGACCCACGCGCACATGCCGAGCGGGAAGCACACCAGCAGCACGTTCAATGGGTGCATGGCGATGGCCATCTGCACACGGGAGGGGAGGGGGGCGGCACGGGCACACCACGCCCAACACGTACGCGCGGGCGTGAGCTCTCAGTGCCTGCTTTCCGCTGAGGCGAGAGCGGGGGACACGAAGAGTTAATTCGGGAGCCCCTGATCTAGCCGATAACTGAGCGCGTTCCCCCAACACGCCGAAAACACAGCGGGTGGGGAGGAGGAGGAGGAGGAGGAGGAGGAGGAGGAGGAGGAGGAGAAGGAGGAAGAGGAGGGGGGAGGGGGAGGAGGGGGAGGAGGAGGAGGAGGAGGAGGAGGAGGAGGAGGAGGAGGAGGAGGAGGAGGAGGAGGAGGAGGAGGAGGAGGAGGAGGAGGAGGAGGAGGAGGAGGAGGAGGAGGAAGAGGAGGAGGAGGAGGGGGAGGAGGAGGTAGTAGGAGGAGGGAGGAGGAGGAGGAGAGGAGGAGGAGGAGGAGGAGGAGGGGGAGGAGGAGAAGAAGGAGAAAGGGAGGGAGAAGCAGGAAGAGGAGGAGGAGGAGGAGAAGGACGAGGAGGAGGAGGACAGGGAGGAGCAAGAGGAGGAGGAGAAGGAGGAAGAGGAGGAGGAGCAGGTTGGAGCGTCTGGGGGGGCCAGCGTCTTCATACCGAACTAGGGCCGACGTGGCCGCCTGCGGCCTGATTTGCCGAGGGGCAGGTCGACTGCTTGGAGGGCAGCTCTCGCCAAGCTTTAAGAGGAGGAGGAGGAGGAGTAGGAGGAGGAGGAAAGGGAGGAGGAGGACGAGGAGGAGAAGGTAAAAAACCGAGTAAACTCTGCTCTCGGCCTTATTTCGGTCTCGCCTTCATCTGCACATGCTGATTCTGCGCCACCGGCCCGGAGCGCTGGAGGGTACGAGCAAGAGCACGCGAAGCCTCCTGGAAGCCAGAGGCGGGGAGGAAGGGGAAGGAGGGGGGAGGAGGGAGGGAGGATAACGGGGGGGGGAGAGGAGCAGGGACAGGAAGGGGGGGGAGGAGAGGAGGGCGAGGAGGAGGAGGAGGAAGCTACGAAGAAGCAGGAGGAGGCGACTGGGAAGCAAAAGCAAGAAAGAGCATGAGCGGGAGGAGGAGGAGGAGGAGGAGGAGGAGGAGGAGGAGGAGAAGGAGGTCCTGCGGGAATCTCTGGACATCTCTCCGGCATCCTCCTGAGCCTCTGCGAAGCGACCTCCAGGCCTGCCGGAAACTCCAAGTGGCTCTCGGGCGCTGGAGATCAGCTCAAAATAGGCTCTGGCCCAAAACATCCAACTATTTCCCAAACAGTGCTTGCATTCAGGGGCTTGTACTTCTGAACTGGGCCTAGGTGGCGGTCTGGCTCCATGCTCGCCGTCGCCGTCCCGTCGCCACCTCGTGGCCGCCCGTCTTCTGGGCCTGGGTGGTGGTCTGGCGGCTAAGTGCTCGCGGTCGCCAGCCCATCGTCGCCGTCGTCGCCCCGAGGCCGCCTCGCATGGATTGCACCGCACAGCTTCCACCACATAGACTGCACCGCGTATACCACCGCATATCTAGATCTATAGATGTATATAGCACCACATGGATTGCACCGCATAGGTTGCACGACATAGGTCGCGCCACATAGATTGCACTGCATATTATGATCAGGTTGCACCACATGGCTTGCAACACGTAAACTGCTCCACACATATTGTTCAACGTAGATTGTACCGCATAGATTGCACTACATAGATCGCACGACATGTGTTGCACAACATAGATGGCACAATTCGCCAAACTAGCTGGCCGCTGCGCGCGCGAGCATGCGCGGGCTCGCGCGGCCGCAGAGATGCACCAGCCAACACCAAGCACTCATCGCAATCGCTTCCGCATGGGCTTTGCAAACCGAGTTGCGAGCGTGTGGGTGGAATGATTGCGCGAGCAGTGGAGTTGACAACTTCGGCAAGTGAATCGCACCACATAGGCTGCGCCGCGTAGATTGCACCACCTGCAGTGCGCCTGATACACAGATCGCCCCACACAGATGGCACAGCATAGACTGCTGGAAAGAACACTGGCTGGGGTCCGCGCTGGATGCAGTATGGGAAGGAAACGTATGCTCACCGCGACAGGGCGTACGTCCTGCATCAAGCACTGCAGCACATTGACTTGGAGTCCCGACACGGTGCGGTGACAGACCGTGCGGCGACCTCGAAATCCCGCAAGACCTCACCGCACGGTCCGTCACCGCACGGCCTTGGGACCCTGGAGGCCCCAGTCGCCCGAGACGCCCTCGGAGAGCGACCCGAGCCCCAAACCCGTGCGGTGACCCCGAATGCCCACCGCCTCGCCGCACGATGTGGTCACCGCACCGTTTGGGGCTCCCCCGATTTGAGCAAGACCACCAAACTGAAGGGGCCCTAGGACACACAAATAAATAGACACACAAATAACAGGATTCCCCATATTTTCGCATATGTTCTGGGTTTTTGTCCCCCCCCCACACTTCCCCTACTTTCCCCTATTTTCTGGGGAACCGAAGATTAATGGTGTCTGTCTGCTTTTTCCCCTCCTGACAGACGGCCTGGCCTCCCGAGCCCAGCCTCGAGCCCAGCGCTGAGTGTGCTCCGGCCCCTCCGGAGCGCTCCGCGGCCGGCCCCGAGCCGGGCCTCGCCCCCGGGTGCTCCAAAAAAAGAGAGAGGCAGGCAGGTCGGTCGAGCCCAGGACGGCCTGCAAACTCTCCGCGTCGCGCAGCCCAGCGGCGCCGCCCCCGGCCGAATCCATCCACCGCCCCGTGTCGAGGAGCACCATCGTCTCAGACCGCTTGACGAGGCGGTCGGCCGAGCCCCGCATCAGGTTGGCGTAGGTGTCGATGTAGGCAGCCAGGCCCCACTCCACGCAGACCTCGGCCGCCTGGACGGCACCCTGGATCACCGCGCGCCCGGCATGGACGCGCTCGCCCACGCGGACCTCGAGCGCGACGCCTCGCGGGCCCCAGCGCTCGACGAGCCCAGCCTTCCACTCCGCAAGTAGCGGCCCAGCCGGGCAGCCTGGCCGGAGGTACCCGCGAGTGTGAAGGCACACCCGCACAAGGCGCCCAGATGCCTCACCGACCTCCGCCACGAGCTCCTCGAGCAGGCCGAGCCCTGTGCAACGCGCGAGCCCGACGGCGCGGACCGCGTCATAGAGCTCGTCGTCAAGTAGCCGCTCGCACGCGGGGTACGCCTCGGCCGAACGCCTAAGCCCCACGAGGTATGGATCCCAGACTTCCATGGTCTCGCAGCTCACCCTGGCCGCCCAACGCCCGTACATGGCGTGCATGGACAGGCCAGTGGCACCTTGCGCAAAGGTCTGGCGCCCCAGCATCCTGGGGAGCCCGTTGTCCGCCTCGAGCGCCTCGTCGCAACCGTCGTGGAGGAAGACGCACCGGCCCAGGGCCCTGAAGGGGCAGGCCGCGCCGTACCGACAGCGAACTCCGCGCGCGCCGCGCGCCGCTGGCCGTGGCGGAGGTCCGCCTTTCGCAGGGGCCTGCGCGGTCCGGCTGGCCCCCTGCCGCGAGAGGGCCCGCCGCAGCTGGAGCGCGGCGAGGCTGCGCTGGAACCGCCTCCGCGCCAGCCAGCGTCGTCCAGCGGCCTGGATGCGGAGCACGGCGCCCGCGCGCCGCCCAGCAACCTCGTCCGTGGCGGTGCCAGCTGCCGCGGCCACCGGGCGCTCAGCGTTGTGCGCCATCTGGACGGCCCAGCTCGCAGCTGCGAGCGCCGTCCAGGCCAAGACAGGGCCCCCCAGCTGGCATGTTCCCGTGCGGGCCACCGCGGCGAGCAGACGAGCCTGCGCCCGAGCGCGTCGTCGCCGCCGCGGCGCCGCCGAACCAGGACCGTGGGAAGGAGGCGTGCGCGCGGGCAACCCAGGTGGTCTGGGCCTCCCGCGCCACTCGCCCATCGAGCACCCGCTGCGCCCCTGCCCCCAGGAACGCACGCTCGTGACGGGCAAATGGCTTGAGTCTCTCCCAGTCATCAGCTCGGCATACCAGACCGCGGCGCTGGAACCCGCCCATGGCGAGCGTCGGCCGTTGTGCGTCCACATGTTGGCCTGGGCAGGCCACTGGTCGCCGGGGTCGGGCGCGAGGTGCTCAGCAAGCGCGATGCTGGACGAGAAGAGCCCGACGTGGGCAGTGGCATGCCCAGCCGGCTGCTCACCGGAGAACCACACCCTCCCTGGTTCGGCCCAGTACTCACTGAAGCGGTCACGCTCGTCATCTGCGGTCCACCCCAGCACGTTGGCCCAAATGATCAGATCGTTGGCGCTCACCCACTGGCCCGCAATAAAGCGCCCCTGCGTCCAGTTGCCCCAGTCGCGCATCGCTGCTGGGACAGTGAACATCTCGTCCAGGATCGAGATGGGAACAAACCCATGGTAAGTGTTGTGGTCGCTGCTCGTCTGCTCCCACGCGACGATGTGCTCAGCCGCGTCAAGGATCGCCTGCCGCATGACCCCCCGATCCGCGTCACCAGGGCTGGCATTCCTCAGCCTCCGGGGATTGTCCAGGCCATTGGGCAGCAAGGCCTGCCAGTTCCCTGCGCGACGCCACACCTCGGCGCAGAGCTTCCCCATATATGCTGTGAATGCACGAAGATTGGCCTCCTCGCGATCGTGTACCCAGGGCGCCTCCGGCTGGTCGAGGCGACGCGATGCGTTGCCACAGGCATGCACCCTACGCCGATGCGGAGCGAGAGGGATCCCCGCCTGGGGCAGGGCCGTCATCTCCAGAGTGAGGGCGTAGCTGAGGTGCAGGTTGCCCATAGCCACTGCGCCGCCTGACAGCCAGGCTGCAACCCATTCGAAATCCGCTGCCAGGATGCGGGCACGAGGCAAGCCCCTGATCCGGCGGCCAACCACACCATTGGCTCCAATGGCATGGGTGGCGAGCAGTGCAGTGCAAGCACCACACCATATGATCGGGAACTGGCCTGCCAGCGAGATCACGGTAATGAGGGCCAAGATGCGTCCCAGGGTCCACGTGGCATTCGGAATACTATCAGCCCCTCCATACGGGCGGCTCGGATTGTTGCCGGACAAATGTTCCCCGAGTGGCAGTGGGAATATGAGCCGACCGGCCTGCGTCGTATCTGGGAGCCCAGTGTTCCAGAATGTGGCACTTGGGCTGACAAAGATCTGCCTCCATGCTCCGGCAGTCGTGCAGAGTGTCTCGTACGGCATGTTCACCACCCACTGGTTCAGGATCACCATCGGGAACGTGGAGTCGCCTCCCCATTCCTGATAGCGGGCCCACGACTGCGCGTAGGCCACCAACGCATGGAATCCACACCCGTACTCGAGCGCGGAGTAGACCGAGGCCAAGCTCTGCAGCTCAGTCCAAACGTTGCCTGGGGACGGCGGCGAGTCGAACTTGAATGCTGAGCGCACGGTGTCACTTGTCACCTGGCCAGACAATATGCCGGGTGGGACGTCGCAAAACCGTGGCGGGAAGCGGCCTGTGGTGATGGCAGCCGGTCCCACATTGACGACGGGAAGAGCGACCCCAAGCACGAATTCGCAGGCTGATGGAATACCGCCGGCGAGGCTGGTAGTCATGAGCACCGCCATCTGTACGAGCCTGAGCCACACATCGCTCAACCCACTCGGCGCAGCATCAACGGCGGCCGCGGCCAACTGTTGCGCCTGCTGCTGTGCCTTAGCTTCTGCGATTTCTGTTTCTGCTTTCTAGGGCTCCCAACTTCGCGCTTCGCGCTCCGCGAAGCGCGAAGCGCGAATAACTTCGCGCTCTCGCGCCGCCCCCCAAGGGGGAGAAGAGGAGGACGAGGAGGAGGGGGAGGAGGAAGGAGGACGGCGAAGCGCGAAGCGCGAATAACTTCGCGCCCTCCTGGGAGCCCTTGTGCTTTCTCCTTCGCTGCGCGAGCCACTTCCTCGTGGTTTGCCTCCTGCTCAGTCTTGACCACCATGCGAGCTGGTGCTGGCTTCGGCGGCTGCCTCGCCTCCTCGGTGCTCGTCATCTGGTCGTCTGCTGTGCTCTTCTGCAGAGACATCGCGCGTCGCGCAGATCGGTCGTGAGTCCCTCTGGGTCCACACGCGGGAGTACTGCGTCGCCGGCCTGTCCCCCTGCCGTAACCTGGCCCATCGGCTACCCATAAGCCAGCTGCTGGGGATACGCGAAGCGTCAAGCATTTCTCTCTCTCTCTCTCTCTCTTTCCCCCCTCCCTCTCTCTCTCTCTTTCTCCCTCTCTCTCTCTCTCTCGCTATCTATGCATCTATCTAGGTCATACCTCTCTCCCGATGTACCCACCCCCATTCCCACGTGATCCCATCTCTCTTTCGACCTCAGGCCCTCCTCGGATAGCGAGATTGTGATATTGGTATGGGCGGCAACGGCGGCGGCGACGATGTTCACCCATGGTGTTTTTGATTTGGGCGTTGCGGTCTGACCCTGTGCATGTGGATGGCGTATGGTTTGGGCGGGGCATCAGTCAAGATGGAAAAACGGACGCTGGGGGAGAGGGAGGCCAACCACAGGGGGTGTTATGAATGCAGGTATGGAACGTTCGCGGAGTTCAATGATTACGAGTTCGTTCTAGATAACCCATGCAAATGCTGATGTGCTAATGTGTTTTGGTATGCATACCGATGGTGTTTTGAAACGAACGATTGTAGCTGAAACACGTACGTTGTACTGCAACGTTTTCTTGATAGAAACACGTGTTGTTATGTTTGGAAAACGTTCTTCGCTCGGTGCGACGCACTGATTTGGGGGGCTCTTATACGTATATGTGCATAAACTCTCTCGTTGAAGCAGATATGTAAAAGTTTAGATAGTTTTTGGTAGTTTTAGTATATGTTGTATATTTCGCACAACAAAGCCACCTCTATGACACAACTGAATCATTGTCTTGGGGAGAACGCAAACCATCGATGAACAACATAACACTCGTCGCACTCAGTGCGCTCTGCGACTACCGGCTGAAAGCGCACAAACCGAAAGCAAACATGCGGGAAAAAACGGACTGTAACAGCACATTCCCGCGTCCGTCGCGCGGATGCTTCAACGGAACCGCGGCAGACATGAAAACTCGCGCGTGCGTACCCCAAACAGGCCCATTCATACCTATATCACATCTATTATCGGATAGATTTGGGTGGGCCTCTAAGCAGAAGCCTACAGAGGCTCTGGGATGCCTCTGCAGCTTCCCCAAACCCTCGGATCCGTTCCCTTCCGCCCCCGCCCCCGAGCATGCCCAGACCTGCCGGCACGCATGTTAAGTCGGCGGCGCAGAGGGTCCTCAGGCGCGAGCAGCAGATAGAAGTGCTGATTGCGATCGCACATCGTCAAAGGCACAGTGTACGAGACGTCCCAGCCTATAAATGCAGAAGACGGGTGGTGTGCAAGACATGCTGCCACACACACTGACACACACGGGGGGGGCGTAAGGGCGCGGCGCGGGCAGCGGGGCAGACCAGGCCCTCGCCGTCGTTGTTCGGAGGCTTCTCGACCGCGGTCCCCTTGACGAACCTGGGCCGGCGAGGGGGGGGGGGCCTGCGGCCTTTGACCTCGCGCCGGCGGGCACGCCCCTGATGGACAGGGGCCCAACGCGCCATCGCTCGGACGTCCGTTCCCCGTGCCTCGTTCCGGCTTCGCGCGTGATGGCCGGATGACCGAAATTGCTCTGCGAGGGCCCTCGACGAGAAACAGGCACACGTCCAAGCGATGCCAAGGCCCACGGCGGGGTTTCCAGGCCCCCGCGGGGAGAGGCAGCCCGCTCTGCGGCGGCGGCCCCCCGGGGAAAGAGGCGCGCGAGAGAGAGAGCGCTCTTGGCCGCGCCCATGGTCAGGGGCCGAGGCGGGGTCACAGTGGATCGGGGGGAAGGAAAGGGGGAGATAGCAAAGGGTAGGGTAGAGAATCAGCTCACGTAGCTGGTTTTCCCAGCGCCTCTCGGCGCCGGGAGGCGCCCATGTATCGAGAAATGGGCCCTGCGGCGGGGCCGAAACCAGCTGCACGCAGCAGATTTCGTCACCCCCCCTTTCCCTATGCCCCCCTTTCGTTCGGTCCGAGTGGAGGGACAGACGCAAGCGAGGGAGGAGGCCGTGGAGGACGAGGAAAAGCAGGAGGCGGAGGAGTAAGGAGGACAAGCCAGCGTTGCTTTGCGCGCGGTCTCATCGTCGACCTTCGACCGGAGAGCATCAAACTCCAGCGACAGCCAGCCTGCACACGAAGGTGGAGGATGAGGAGCCGGTCAGGACAGGAAGCAGGAGGTGGATGGGACGGGGGCAGGAGGGGTAAGGAAAGGATGACGAACATGAAAAGGAGGAAGAAGAAGCAGAAGGGCGCCCTGTCGTTCGTGGTATGTGGTCGCGGTAGCGGCACCTCTCGAAATCGCTGCGGTCGGCAATCCAGTGGTCCAGGACGATTCCAGCCACCATGGCCCGTCGGGCCAGAACCTCCCCAAAACAGGCTAGGCGTTCCCGCCTGGACCCCGGCCAAAAATCCCTGCCTCCTGCGCTTCGCTCTCTTCGTGTGCCTCCTCCTCTTCCTCCTCCTCCGCCTCCTCCTCCTCTTCCTGTTTCCTCCTCCTCCTCCTCCTCCTCCTCCTCCTCCTCCTCCTCCTCCTCCTCCTCCTCCTCCTCCTCCTACCCTCCTCCATCTGCGCGTCCTTCTCCTGCTGGTGCAGGTGAGCCTACTCCTCTGTAGCGGCATGCTGGCCCAGGCCATTCTGAGCCGAGCCGCGCGCACGCGCTCTCGTGGCATAAACGATGACGCAATAACGATGTAGACAATGCGTACTCTGGCATTAGAAGCTCCTCCTCCTCCTCCTCCTCCTCCTCCTCCTCGTCCTCCTCCTCCTCCTCGTCCCCCTCGTCCTCGTCCTCCTTTCCCCTCGTCGTCCTCCTTTCCCCTCGTCCTCGTCCTCCTTTCCCCCTCGTCCTCGTCCCCCTCCTTTCCCCTCGTCCCTGGCTCCGCCTCCTCCTCCTCGTCCTCCTTTCCCCATGGCAGCGGTCTGCCATGTACCTGTCTGCTTCGTGGAGCAGGGCCGTGTTGCCCTGGGGTGCTGCAGCATTCAAAGTGCGCCGTGCTGCCATGTTGCCACGGGCCGTTTGAGCCGTCCACGCCGACTCGTAGCGGCACTCAATGTGGCGATGTAATCACCCCGGCGCACTTCTATCACTAAGGCGTGGTACCAGCCGAGGCTGCCGCAGCCTGCGCGAACATTCTCACCGCACTGTAAGTGACACATCCGTACAGTAGGAGCCCGACCACAAGAAACCTTCCACAAGAAACCCAACCCTGAGACCCCAGGACGTCCATGGATTTTTGGTGTGGGAATGTCACGCTTACCATGGGAAAACCATCAAAACCTAAGAAACCCAGGGCACCCTGGAGGCAAGCGGGGTGTTTCTTGGCATGGGCCTCCACTGTACTTCACGCTGGGCGTAGTACCCTCGCGCGTATTGCAGTAACGATCACCTGCGGTGGCGACGGCACGCTGGATCAAGGGCTATACGCGTGTAGCCCTTGATACAGCGCATGCGCCCAGGGCATGTCTGAAGGGGACAGGGCGGGAAATGCGGCCGCCGACCGCTTGTCAGGGGTAGCGGCAAGGGCCCGCTTGCCACCGCCAGCGCTCTGCTTGGAACGCGATTTCCGGCTGATGGCGCTGGACGCAGCGCAGCGCGTGCTCGCCGCGGTCGAGCTGGCGGCCAACCACGAGAGCCGCGGGCCCGAAGGCCCGCGCGTGCGCCGCCGCTGGACTGCCGCGCGGGCGCAGCCGCGCCGCCAGGAGAGCTCGGCCCCCGCCAACGGCGCCGGCAGCGCCAGCCCCCCTCTGGCTACCTACCAAACCACCCCCGACCCAACCCGAAGACCCGAATTTCGAGTTGGGGGGCGTGTGTATTTCCTCGCTGTCCCCCGCCCCCCCCACACCGGAATTGCAGGGCACAAATGGAGGCCTTCGGGTTGGGTTGGGGTGCTTTGGTGGGCGGTCACCCTCCGCCGCCGCGCTGGCGGACCTGGGCAGCGATGGAGGCCGCCGGGCGAGGCTGCGCGCGCCCTCCTCGCAGGCGCCGGGCTGGGCGGCGCGTCTGCGCTGCGGCGCCTCGGCGGCGCAGTGGGCGCAGCTGCCGGCGAGGCCACGCCCGGGGTGGACGCCGGCGCTGCCCCCGCGGGCGGCCATGCTGCTGCTGATGCCGGTGCGCGCAGGCGGTGGCGCGGAGGCCCGGCGCGCCGCCCCGGAGGCGCGGCGCCGGGCCCAGCCGAGGCCGCCAGACGGATGAGGTGCACGGTGCATGCCTTCTCTCTCCCCCCCTCCCTCCCGCCTTAGCCGCGGCAAGCCCTGTTCGCATGGTGCAGAAGTGAATCTGTGGCGGTGGGCTGCACCTGGGAGGGAGGAGAAGGGATCGCGTCCACAGAGGACGGGTGGGCATGTCGAACTGGGGGCTTGGGTGCCCAGCTTGGGGTGGCCTCTTGTCGTTGGGTAAGCACGGCTCTCGGTCAGAGTCGTATCCCCCAGTCGCCAGGCAGGCGACGCACTAATGGGGCGTTATGGGGCCATGTCGCGTTCGGGGCTTCGCTTCCGAGTGCAGGGTGGCTGCGCTTCGCC